AATGTTCTCACTCTCCAGGTCAAAGTAAAGAGGCACCTGAGGGTTTTGCTATTCCTTTGTGAACACAGCAGAGCCTTGTCTTCCCCTCACACTTACTATCCCCAGAGCAGCTGCTCCTGGTCTGGAGAATTCTTATGAACCTGATGCAGGTGCACCTGTAGTTACGGCTTACAGAGTGCTCTGACAAAGCAACCCTGAATTGTACTGCTTGCTGGGGGGGAGGGGGGTAATTTTTGCTCATACTGTGTTCTATCATAAAAGCTTTACTTCTCAGCTGAGCTGGCTCCTGCCCTTTCCCTGCTGCCCCAATGCCTCTGTTGGTGGAGCTGCACCCATGCTTCAGCAAGTCTCCAAGACATCATGCTTGTCTCGTTGTCTAATCTTGCTCTAAGCAAGTCTGTGCAGTTTGGCACTAATAACCCTCGCAGGTGTGCGAGATACCTACTGTTGACTGGGACTATCTAGCAAGAAAAGTAGGGGATTGTTGGAGTGGGCTTCTTGCCTGTTGTCCTTGCTGATAGGACATTCACTGCCACTCTTGTCTCTTCTCCCTACTACAACAACTAACTCCTCACCCAAGTCCAGTAGCAGAGCAGCTGGTTAGCAGTGGGAAGGACAGCAATCTTTGGCACCAACAAAGATACCTACAGCCCCACTCAGATGGTTAAACGGGACTCAGCTGTGCTGCCATGCCTGTTACAAGAAACCTGTGACCTTTCTGAGCCACCTCTCTAAAAATGTAAGCCTGGGGGGAAAATTTGTCTTAGATTCCTCCTGGCAATGGTCTATTTTAATCAGGATTGTTGCTGTAGCTGCTTCTTCTGTAGGGAGGGTGTCAGACAACAAAAAGCACGGTGAACTGCCAGGTAAATGACGTTAAAATCACCTGATTGCATTCAGCCCTTATGTTAATGTTGCCAATGGCCATGAAATCACCCTGAGTCACCCCTGTGAAATCTGTTAAAGAGCAGCAGGGAGAGCTGTGCTCTTCTAGCACTGGTCAAGAGGCTTTGTTAGAATAATCAAAGCATTATTGCTGCTAAAGCAAATGTGCCTATCTCTGGGCCTCCAGGTCATTTTCTGAGAAACTGATCTGTAGTCTGCCAAAAAATAAAGACTAATGTTTTCACTTGATGCTTTCATCTCATGTGCCTGGGGGCCCACATTTCACTGCTGACTGATTAAATGAGGTGGTAAAAGGTACAATCTTGTGGATCTCGGTACACACATAGCATCCTTTTGAGGAGAGAGCACTTGCAGGATGGAAGTGTGGATGCATTTAGGAAGAAGCTTGGTACAGGCTGACTCCCCTTCTATCTGCTCCCCTGGAATAACTCAGTTTGCTATTATTTAGAAGAAAAATAAAAATCAGCTTACAAGCTTACATGTTCTGTAGGGGCAGATTTTTTTTTTTCCCCCCTGTAATGCAAATATGCTTTAATGTCAAGAGGAAAATGACATGCAGGAGGAGAAGGGCCAGAACAGTCATCAACTGATTTTATGGCATGGTGGGCCTCCCAACTCCCATTGGTCTCCCTTCTCCCTCTTGCACCTTGGAAGCTTTAATTGAAGTGAGTGTAGTTTATTGATTTTTAGCATAAGGTAATGAGTTAATAGTCAGAGGAGGTCAAAGTAACTTTAGGCCAGTTTAGAGGGGACGTAACGAGACATTAAGGATGTGTAGTGCATTAAAGATCTGATTGTGTTTTCAATGAAATCAGAAGTTCCTTTGATTTTAGCAGCAAAATTCCTAGCCATAAGAAGGGAAAAGTGTACTTTATCTAAAGATAAAATTATTGTCTTTAAAAAAGAAAAAGCAAGGATGTAGAGAGTCAGCACATTAAAGTAGTATCTAATTCTGGTTTTATGAGATAATAATTTTGTCTTATATACTTATGGCTCAATTAAGCCATAAAGGCACAACTTCAGTGGGATGCTGAGGAAGCAACTGTATTCTAAAGCAAAGTTTGAGGGGGTTTTTTTCAAGCTTTCCTATAAAGAGGTGGAGTCTGAAGAGCAACTTCAGTCCATGGAAAATAATGGGCTTGTTTTGGCTTTTTTTTGCCTTTTTAGATGCAGTAAAAATGAAGACTACAAGAAGATCACAAAGTTTATAACAAGAAGCGTTCCTGTAGCCTATAGAGATGTCTGAGAGCACCTCCTGCTATAGTCCAGTAAGCAAAACATTTTCTGTATGATTGCTTAGTTCTCCTATGAGGGATAGTACCACAATCCCACTGTCTACCATCTTCATTTTCTTGTTGTTGCAGGTGAAGCCTATGTGAGTCTGAACTGGCAAGAGATGAAACTGTTCAACTGAATTTAGCTACATTTAATATAATCATTTACAGCAGATCTAATACTATATAGCACTATATGCTATGGTCAAAATGGATATTTAGAGGAGTGATTCCAGAGGCTGGCTCCTCTCCTGTGTACAGTCTGTAGTTACATTCTAAGATTATGCTATTTTATGTAAACTACCAATACTGTACAGTATTATGATGTCCTGTTGGCTCTAAGGATTCCTAACATCTTTCTATAAAACAAAGATGAAAAATGATGCTGTATTTACAACCAATAGAACATATGAATGTTTCCTCTTCGGTAGCATAATGAAACTGCTAACTCAGCGCGTCTAATTTTGCCATTACAAATACAGTAAATGTACTTTTACTCTGTGATAATAATGCAAGATATAGCTTATTCTTGACCGAACTTGACTGTACCATATACGTCTACACAATTTTTTCTATTTATTCTGAAAACAAGGCAGATAGGTTTGCTATGTGTATTCATAAAGGTATGTGCTTAAATATTTTCTCGAAAACACCTTAAACTTTAATATTTCCAAGCACTCATCGTCCATCCTGTCTGTCCTCCCTCTCCCCCTCTTCTTCAGAGAGAAAGAAATACATCTTTGTGTGTACTGCACATGTATGTATCAAAAATAAACTTCCTTTCTAGCAAGTAAATCCAAGAACAATGTTGCTAGCAGCTGTTGTGCTTAAAGCCCAGTTGAGAACACTGTTCTGTTATAAGCTCTCAACGCTCTTCTCAACATCAGTAATCAATATGCCAGCACAATGTATTGTAAACCCAAATTCCCAGGCCAGGAGACCACAAAAGCTCCTCTGTCTTGTGTGAGGGAACTGAAAAGAGGCTTTCACAGTGCTGCAGAATATGCTGGCAGACTGGCCCGGTTCAGAGCCCTCAGTGTTCCAGAAGATATTTATGTACAAGTAGGGCAAATCTTGTGTAATCCTTGGTTAAGAAGCTACTATAACTGTTATTTAAAAAAAAATGAGAAGAATCATATGTACGTGTTGAAGACAACCATCAGATAATTACAGGCTGCTCAGTGGCTGCATGAAGTGCAGTAGCTGAGGAACTGAAAAGGTCTTTGTGCTCCTTCCAGCAGGAGAAGGACATCTCTTTATCTACTCTCACAAATAAAAAGCCAGACCTATCCTTTAGAAACAAACATACACCTACTTCCTCCTATTTTATAAGTCATTTCTACAGTCAGTTTTTGCAAGCAGAAAGTTACAAAGCCAAAGAGTTTGATAACAATAATGGTAATTTTTCTTAAAGATGAAATCACAAGGTAATAACCACTCAGTTCTTTGATTTTCACTTATGTTTGTAACTTTCAAGTTGTTGGGAAGAGTTAACTCTCCATTGGGTAAAACGGCACCAAAGTAAAACCAAATAACTTCTCATTGCATTGTCCATCTAAAAAGGAAGGTACCTACTGGGTTTTTTAGGAAGTTTTGCCAGACATCAGTGCAAGCAGTGAGCAACAATATGTCAGAGAGAGGAAGGTCAGCTCAGCATACAGAATACTGTTTTTTGTAATTTTATTTTAAAGGAAATTACATTCAGATACAGCCCAGTGATATCAGCAGAGATTTAAATGAATATTTAAAGCTAACAAACTCCTATAATTAATCTCTTAGCTTCACAATTCTTTTGTCATTAATACTGATTAGGAGCTCAGACTAAATTCACTCTTTTGCATTACCCAGATTCAAAATCACAATCATGTTAAAAAAAATACAAAAATGTCTAAAATTTCACTTTCCAACCTAACTTATAAGAATAATGAAACCATTGAAATGCCTTCATTAAAAAGCCACATTGACATGATTTACAGCTGTACAAATTGTTTAAAACAAGTATTATAGGATAAGTGATCAAAGCAGTGCTAAAGATTTGAAGCAGAATTTTTCCCACTGCCCTTAGATAGACTTATCTGGCTAAATTACAAATAAAAACCACTTTGTACTCTTAAATTCACCAAAATAAAAAAGCCCAAATAACTGTGTCTGAGAGAAAAGAGAAAGCCATATTCTATGGTGTGTACTCACACTCCAAATTCCCAGGATGTGGAATGCTACTGCAACAAGGGGTTTCCTTGCGCCTGAGGTACTTGATATTTGACTAAGACCCGCATAGAAAATGAGTAGAAACACATCCTGCACCTGACAAGGTGAACAGTCTGCATGCTGGAGAAGAACTGAGTACTGCTGAGTAAGGCAACCAAGATAAAGTATGGCGTAAGCGCAATCTGGTTAAGGCAGAGTACATATTTTTGAAGATGTTATTTCTTCTGCTTCCACTTATAAAAGCACTAGTGCACTAGAATGTGTTTAAGAGCTTTTGTTAAAAAGACCTGGTGGAGCTGGAGGTGGTTCACAGAGATAAATCTAAAGAAATTCATTACAATAAGCTAGACAGTCCCTCAGAAAAACCTTTGTCGATTTCATATTCTTACAGCCATTCAGTCTGAAACTCCAAATATATTTACTAACAAGACAAACAAACATTTTAAGCACAGCTTTCTCAAAATACCCATCCCTTATTTGCCCCCTACAAGAAACAGCTTCCACTCTGGATGAGGCAGCACCTGAAATTTTATGCGAGTGTGGCAATATTTTTGCCTAGTAAGTAAATCATGTCCAGTCCTACCCTTGCAACAGATGTAGAATTAGTCACTTACCAGGCCAAATTCTGCACAATATTATGCTGACCTTAATCTAAAGGAATTTCTGTGGCATTAGTTTGGATTTTTAAGTGAAGGCAGAATTTGGCCCACTTTAGCACATTAAAATAAACTGATCCAGAGCTTATATTTGAAGAATCAATAGATTAAACAAAGTATTGGTAGCACTTCCCATATTTACTACATGAAGAGCCTCACTCACCCCATTTGACCAGTTTACAACTATTATTTATCCTTCCCAGTGCTAAGACTTTCTAGGTTATTCGCAGAAATATATCAAAGCTCAGGAAAGCGTAACAACAGATGCATCATATTGTTGCATAAGCTTATGCTTAAAAACACTAGAAAGTAGCTGGGCTCTGATCATTCTTTGGCTTGAAGCTGGAGCCTCCCTGGATAGATCAGTTCTTCCATTTGTTGGAGTCCCAAGCCAGGAACCAGCCTGTGAATGTCGGGGGTTCATGCCCCTGCTTCACAATGACAATGGGGGTCCCCTTATCTCTGCCAGAAGGATCTGTTTCAATATAGCGTTTGGCTAAAACCAGAAAGGAAATAAAACATGTAATATATTAGTTCATTCCTTTGGTATAAAAAATACATTAAAAGCCCTAGTGAAAGAACCCAGGGCTACTATAATACAGTATTCAGTTAAATTATTTCAAAGGCAATGAAATGATCAGGTAATTGCTGATTTCTCCCAGCTGCCAGTGAAAGAATTTTCCATGAGGTTAAAACAAAGGGACTGTTGCTCTGATCAGTTTGTTGCCATACGACTGGGTTTTGGCTCTTGAACAGGAGGAAGAATTTGCTAGTGCTGTGCAGATGCACAAGCTTCATTCCATTTTTTCCTTTGTAAAAGCCAGTATAGTTTCCCTTGACATCACAATGTGACATCAGTATGTATTGGAAACACAGCTAGGTAACCCTAGCTGCTCCAGGGAAATATCTGCAAGCGTTTTTAGCACAAACTTTGTCAGAACGACTCAGCCATGTGAAATCACACCAGAAATAACACGTGATTTTTCAAGGAGGTGCACTCCACATGAGTTGTCATTTGTTCTGCAATTGGAATTTCCTCCTCCAAATTTAACTCAGTGAAGCGTAGCAGTGTAAGGACTTGAGGATTTGTTGGCATTCCTTTGACTACATACACTAGTGTCGGGTGCAGCTCAGTAGATATCTCCTTTAAAATTCTTTCTCTTTTCAGTGCAGTTTCTTTTCATGGAGCTCTCCTACATATTCTTTAGAAAGCTCTGCAGCCTAGTAATGCTATCTTGATTAATTTTACCCTTCATAAACTTACAGATAAGAAAGATATAACGAGTTTTAAAGCACATTTAAAGGAGAAAATAATCTTCTCCAGGATTAAATCCTAATAAGCTCAGTAACACTTTTAAACACTGTAAACATAACTAGATTTCTTCTACATCATCTTTTTCACTTCTTTCAGTAATATTGATGGTACTTCACTCAGATTTCTGCCAAATTGATTTGATTTACCTGATTTAACGGATTCCTGTTGCTCAGTTTCATTAGCATCCTTCCCAATCCAGACAAAAACCTGCAAACAGAGAGAAAGATATAGCTCCCATGTTGTTTTAAGGATGTTGTGTACAGCAGATAAAGTACAAAATAGTTGATACCACTAGGAGAAAGAATATACACTATGAAAAGACTGCAGAGCACAGCTGATGATTTTTTTTTCCCCTTGCAAGATACTGTAGTTCTATCCTCTGAAATCTCACCGCTCTATTGATACTGGAAAGCTGGACCTTTATGCACTCTGATGAAAGGAACTCTAATTAACTTTTCCATGGCTATCTTTTACAATTTGCCAAGGAAATTGGTCTTTACGTGCAGGTAAAAACACTGAACAGGAGCTGTCTCTCGTTTTGAGCTCTGCGTGCGCATCAATGCTTGGGCCCTGTGATCAATGCTACCCAGGGTAACTGCTAGATAACCCACTGAATAACCCAACAACCAGAGCCTCGATCTGTAATCCCCACATATTTTTTTTTTTCTGTCAAGGATCCTTTTGGAAACTAGCTACATGTCCCAGACTTCTTTCCTTCTTACCCAAGTCAGTATGTCCCAACTCTTTTCTGTCCAGCTCTTCCACCCACCTTCCCCCATCACTCCTTCCCCCATGGACCTTGGACATTCCTTCTCGTTTCCAAAAACCTCATCCTTTTTTTCCTTAAGGCTGAAGAAGACAAAATGTAGGATCTGTGACCTCCTCCCCCTTTCCCTCCAAGGGGAGAGTAAGAGTAGAGAGAATATACTGTGAGAAACATATGTGCCCCCCGCACCCGCAGCAAGTTTGCCTGTTATCCAAAAAGCTCCCAACATTTTCAGTTTTCAGTGAACCTGGGAAAATGACGGAGATTGTTTCTGTCACCCTCCACCCAGTTCTTCTGGAGAAATCTCTGTAAGGGTCTAGTGTTCATCCCCTTATCTAGTAAGACTTTTTGTAGGTGCTGCTACATGGATTTGGTGGCTTCTGAATACCTTTTATGCAGTAACTTTCTTTTTTAAAATTAATAAATTTTAGTGATAAGGTCAAAAACATTATTGAAAGTCTTTCAGAACACTGCCGGGGCTTATACTCTTGAAGCCTCCATTGGTTTTGATGGGAAGTGCCTGCTGTGGTCTCACATTATGCTTGGAAATTCAATAGTCTATGTTCACACTAGCACATCATATAGCTCAAAAAATATAGCTCCCTCTGGTATAATTTAAAGAAACAAAACCTCTTCCATTCTCACAAGGATTATTTTTCCTCCCACCTTATGATCTAAGTGGTTAAAAATAAATTATCTTTGTTACCACAAAAAGCGGTGGTCAAGTACACAGCATACCTGTTCCCAAGCATCGAGCAACATGACATCATCTTCAGCCAAGTCGTCCTGAGTAAATTCTCCTGGGACTTCCTCAATCTAAAAAGGATATTATGTTGGGCTTTTTTGTGTTTGTTTTTTAATGATTTATCAAGATATTCTGATTTTACACAGAGCAAAGATATTTTTAAAAGGGTAAGTCCAGAAGCTGGTATGCAATTCTTTTTGATCCCAAAGGGTCAAGCCCTAAACTGATTTGATGAATGTGTCAACGGTGTTTCACTGAAAGGAAACAAATCACATAATTGCATGTCCTGTAAAGTCAGCTCTCAGTTTGTCAGAACTGATAGGATGTCCTCAGGAGTGGCAGAGTTTTACATTGTAATTGTGAATATTGTTAATTTGGGACCAAGGTCTGCCAGAAGAAGGAGACAGGGAAACTTCCATAGAGCACCCTGTACCAAGCAAACTACATCTATCAGCTGATATCAGCTGATATATTCTTGCAGCTTACATTCATTAATAAGGAAAAGAAACTGCTTTGGTTTGCAGTGGGTGAGCTCAGTGATGAAATACACATCCAAGCAAGCTTTCCAGTTACTTGATAATGGGACATTACGGTTGACTAAGTCCACAAAGGAAAGGCAGTCTGTTTCCTTCTTCCAAGGATGTGCAGGCAGATAGGAAAGCAGTTTAATGTTATTCTGTATGAGAAGGAGAGGTAATAATGTAGCTAGTGGTCAGTCCTCTACTTTTGAAGGACTGCTGAGGGTTCGGCTATTCTTGGTCATGTAGGAGCACTAAAGGGATGGTAAGTAGATGGTGCGAAAGACCACCCTGTATTATGGTGGCCAGAAGGTCAGAATGATCTGACCTACCTTTTCTGGTGAGCTCTAACAGTGGTGATTCTGTTACTAGAGAAATGCTACAGGAAAGAGGGGATTTCACAGAATTTGGAGGGAGTTTAAAACAAAAAGCAAACAAGTGCATAGCTCCCAGCAGACTATTATAGAGAGGTTGGTTCCTATTACTGTATTTCACAGGAGTGTTTTAGAAGCTTGTTAGAAGAATACACTTTACTACTCTCATAAGATTTTAAAGTCCTTATTAAAGGATCCTATTTTTTTTATCCCTCTCCAAATGAATGGGCTATGCCTTAAGGAGACTGCAGAGATGGTAGCTAGCTATGTCCCCTACCTAAAAATTAGTGCATCCTTGCCAAATGGTGACGCAGTGCTGCCCTCCCAGAATACGGTAAGTAATTAAGCCTGAATCACAGACTTAATACCTAGTGCACAGCTATGGGCAGTTCTGCTAAGGAAATAAGTCTTCCTACCTCCTTGAGCACAGGCCAATACCTTAAAGGTGTAATTACATGTCTTAAATCTCTATGGAAAATTTCAGGCTGCTAGGGATTTTTGGCAAGGGACGTTTCTTTTCCTCACCACCACTATCAAACACCTAAGGGGCAAGGCACTGAGCTGCACTTTCTCAGCAAAATGACAGCAGTCTGGCAATACTCTGCAAGAACACAATTGCTTTTGACTGGGCAAACACCTTGTCTTTTTGCATCTGCAGGCCTCTAGTCCAAGGCTGGAGCAGGCTCTGCGTGCAAACTTCTGCCATGTTAATTCTTCTGTCTGTCCTTTGCATTTGGATTGATTTAAAGCACCAAACGTCAACTCTCTAGCTCTTGCCACGCACGGCTAACTAAGCCAGATGCCTAGATTGATTTAATGTCTCCTGACTCCCAAGGCAAAATATACCAGAAACTATATAATTAAACAGACAGGAAAGTATCCCTCATATACTCACAATAAATCTGCCAGTCTTATTAGAACAACCATACAGGCGAGGGGGATGATCTTCAGCCTTTGTCAAGAGTTGTGATGAAGTCTGGTATTTTTTTTTACCTCCAAGTGCTTTCCAGAATTCCTCTGAAATACACAATACATAATTTATTCAGCAGTGGATTTAATATTTGATGTTTTAGCTTGTTAGATACTGTTTCAAGAATCCCCAAACAATATCTTCTTTGCTGTCTCAAGGATGGGTGCATTTTCTCACAGCTCTTCCTGCAGTTTGTCAAAATAACAATGAAGATATCGCTTGCAGACCTAAAGAGAGCAATGCGCTATGTCCTTCTCCCCTCCTAGGCACTCATGGTAAAGAAAGGACCGCATTCTTCTGCAGCTCCTGCTACTGACTAGTCCTACAGACTTCTAGGGCATTGCATTGATGTGTATCAGCCAGTTTTGGATGGATCTCCATGGTAAAATGTCAGGTTGGATTTTCAAAGAGAGAGAGAGAGCGCACATGCATCTGCCTCCAAAATATGTATGATTGCAAAAACCATTCAGGCTGTGTTTCCATGCAGTGCTGTGTCTTCTCAGTTGCCTATTAGCAACCACGTGGCTTCATACTAACCTGGTTCCTGGCCTTCATTAATCATAGCAGTCTGGCATTTAAGAACACTGGCAATGTATTGAGCCCCTTGTTCCTCTTCTTTGTTTGCTCCTTTTCCTACCCAGGTGTAGCCAGAGTTGTTTGGCAGTTTCAGAACAAAGACATCATTGGAGTTTAGTGACATTGCATCAACGTCAACCTAGACAGAGAAAGAAATTGTTTTATTCTTCATATTTACAAGTAATGTGATCACTATTTTGCATGCTTATATAAAATGTGTAGACAAATGTTGATCAGCTCTGGTTTTTTCCTTCAATTTTTCCCTAGATTTATAAAGATGGAAGTTAGAGAAGAATTTAACTTGAAACAGGGAACTGACTTGAAGGACAAAACTTTGGACTGTTTGGCAGTAGGAAGGGCTATCTCGTAAAGGTTGCTGATTTCTTATCTATTCTTTGTCAGCTGACAGTGTTCACTATGCATTTTCTTATAGTTTCCTCTGAAACATGTAGATTGGTTGTAGCTAGTTATGGCATATTCTCTTTGATTTGTTAGATGGGTTGCTCACATAGAGCAGTGATTTGATTTGGAGTTCTGTGTTTCTACCACGTGACTACCCAACAAGATTAGTTGGAGAGGCTTGTGGCAGCTATAGCATTCTCCATGGGGAATAGCTGGTTTACTTAGCAGGTGACCTCACCTCTGCAATCCTGGTAATGTCTGCCAGGTTCCTGCGGATTTGGAAGAGTCGCGTGGGTGGAGCAGGTTTCTGACCTTCCTTCTTGGATGTCCCATCCTTGTAAACAATAAGCGGTTTGTTTTTGAACAAGCTCAGTAAATGTGCAGGCTCTTTGCCTTGGCTGACTCGGATCTGTACATACGTAAAGAAATGCAATAAGAGAAACAAAAGGAAACAGGTAGTTATTTTTGGTCTTTGTTGACTAGCATAGGGGATGTTAGCCAATAATGCTAAGTATGTTAGCAAGAATGAGAAGTGGCAAGCTGATAAGATCTAAAAATATAGTTCCAGACACATTAGAGCATTCGTGAGTTTTTTGTCAATCATGCTGACACAAAGACAAGATTCAAACTTCTAACATAATGTTTAGCTGATTAAAATGGCTGCTACCAACTGTAATAAGAAAATTACTCTTTTTCAAAAGAACTGTCATTTCATAGAGTTTTATAGAGTGACTTAATTCCCCTGAAAAATTATCTTGGAAGCTTAGGTGCCCTGTATTTAAGCAGAAGAGAATGGTTATTCATCCTGTTCATTATTTCTATGTGTATTTTACCTGCAAGAGGATGAAAAAGATGAGCATAAATCTATCTTGCAGAGGATAACAGGGATGACAAAAATGAACTTCCCTTACAGATGCAAAAGATGTTATTGCAATCTCAAAAAAACATCGAGCTATGAAGAACAACTATTTTTAGGTTAATGTATGATAGAAGTTATTTGTATACAACCATTTTTTCTTCCTTTATAACAGTATCACCTGACAAGGTGGAGGGCTGCAACTCCCCACCTTTCACTGCCAGAAAGAAAGGGAAAAAAAGGGAATGAGGTATGCTGTGTAGCCAGCAGAGGAGAAGCGGAGAGCCCCAGCCCTTTAGCCCTGCCCGGTGAAGCTTGGGGTGGCTGCAGCTGGGCAGCCTGGTGGCTGGGGCAGTGGTGGTCATGCTGGGCAGCAGGAGCAGGTGCTTCTGCTTATCTCACCGCTGGATAGATTGGTACAGTTGCCTGATAAGGATACCCTAGGACACATATACTTGTAGGTGCCAAACTGCAGCAGGATTTTACAAATGACAAAAAAACCCCAAACCACTGCTGAGGGAAACATACTCCTGCAAAACAAATAGGGGAACGGCTTTTTAATAGTCATTTGTACTGTAGTGCCATCTAGTGACAACAAAATAGTACCTTTAAACCTTTCAAATAATGCTAATACAAACGTTAAGCACAGGTAATATATTCTAGGTAGCCGTGTACATGCATACAAATGCACACATGCATATATACATATGTGTGTGTGTACATACACCCATACACATATATACACATATATGTGTTCCTAAATTCATTGCAGGCTAAAAGTACTTTTAACTATCATGTCCATTGCAGTGAGATGGATCTCCCTTCAGCTTTAACAAAACAGCTTTTTAAGCACATCATTATTGCAGCTGTTAGTAGTAATATTATTATTATTATTACTTTAGTGTTAGTATTGGCCTTAGGTATGAGGCAGGACCATATTGTGCTGAACTCTATCCAAATATAGAACATGTGTTAGGAATATTTCAAAGATTAATTACCTACGAGTGTTCCAATCCTACCTTAATATAATTTCAATCATAAATCATAACTGATTAATAGCTAAAAGTATGGTCTGCCATCTAAATTAACTGTACCTTGGCGGGTGGGGGAAGCCCTTTACTTCGGAAATTAAGAAATGGGAAGCACAGAATTATCTCCTGCTGCCCAGAAAATCCCTGTCTGTCCCTAGTCATCCTCCAGTTCTAGCTTTTTTATAAGGAGACCTCTCACCTCTCCATCTACCCACCACTCCTCACTAGAGATGAAAGCAGAGCACACACCCTGGTCATGTTAGGAATAGCTTATCTCCTCACACCTTTTAGCTGCCAATGTCCTGCGCCTTGCCTTGCACACCCCATTTCTGCAAGTGAGGACATGTATCCTGCTTTCATGGAGCTGCAAGCACTATGGCATGCAAAAACCCAAGTTATGTTCCTCACTAAGGCAGGGACAAGCCAGACCCTGTCGCACAGTCCTGGCAGGCTCTCCCGTTCTGGCTGTCATGTGGCATTCATGTCTCCTGGTTTTGGCCCTCTAAAAGTCAGGTGTCTTGTCTGGGCTAAACATCACAGCTTCCTCCACAATCAAAAGGAGACAGGGGAGCTCACGCAGGGCTATCGCCCTGTCAGACACCTGCTTCAGAGTGAGTTGCTCTGGGAGGATCTTATCATTCAGTCTCCACTTACCATGTACAGAGTCCATAAGGCTAGGCAGGACTAAAACTTAATTTTTAAATTTTTAAAGTGAAAGTCGAAGGAAAGAAAAGGCAGTTTTAGGTTGTGTTATATCTGTGTTCTTTTGCACATCTACGTTCAGAAAGGATGATTCAAATGGAAAATCACCAGTGACTTTAAAAGAAGCCCATGGTGCTTGGCTCAATACAAAGCATGAGCAGTTGATATTCCCAGTCTTCAAATACTACATCCTCCTTTCAATTCTCATTGAAATTTGCGTATATTGCATGCTCTACTGAATTCTATCCAAAAGACACTAACCTGCACAGCCTGACCATTCAATAAGCGATCCAGCTGAACCGTCAGAAATGCAGATGCAGTCAGTTCATCTTTTGTAGTATGGGCTCCTTGCCTGAGGAAGACAAGGAGAAAGACAATGGTTAAGGCCAGTTTCAAAATGATCCAGAGCTTATACTGCATGATGAATGCACAGTAAACAATCTTGCATTTACACATGGTTAGACTCAAAAGGACATAAAGTCAGCATAAAATAATATCCACATGCTGGAGGTCTGTGCAAAGCCAACCAAACATACCATGTGTAGATGATCTGCCCTTTAGGGTAAGTGTAAAGGATAATGTAGCAGTCACCACCGTAGAACTGTCCGTATGTCTCAGGTCCCACAGGAACTCTACCGCTGCTTTCCACACGCCAGATCTGAGGAAACAGAGATATCACTGAAGAATGCTGAACGTCATCCTGAGACACTTCAAGAAGCAATTTACTGTGTCATCCCTTGAGTCACCTTTGTTTCTGTTCCCAAGTGTTATGGAATGAAACCAGGAAGGATTCTTCATGAAGTAGATAGATATACCCTGTGCCCACCGAATGAATGAATAATGACCATCAACAAGCCATTGTAGTACACTTTTGTCTTGATGCTTTAATGCCACATGATCACCTCATAATGCTATGTTGAACTTACTTTCTTAACATCTTAAGGTTATAATACGACATGAATGGCACAAAATTGTGATCCATCATAGAACTATCATTTCATCTGGGAGAGGCACACTGTAGTCAGATAACACTGTTAGGCAGATTTCTTCCTATTTGATTGACTACAGCCCAGTTCAGTTAACAACTGCTCTTCAAAAACATACTGCTAAAATTACACAGCAAAAAATGCTTCAGACCTAAGCTACTTTGGCTCAAGCCTATGGAGCATCCCAAATATGGGGTTATAAAACTAGAAAATATACCAACAAGACTGTAGGTATTGATTTATCCCTTCTTTTTCTTCCAGAATCACAACATGCTGTGTTGGTACAATGCCAAACCAGCCCTGTGCAGACCAAAGATATTCCTGCAGTGGGATATGGATAGATCTAGAAAGAATGTACAGTCATCTTTTTCTCTCCAAATCCAGGCCACCTGAGAGACACACAGGGACAAAGAAGGTTCCTCTAGAAAGCAGATTGGATACATACATAAAGACATGGAATGAATTTCTGATGCCAAGGGCAAGCCTTCCCATTTCAGATTTCAAGCTGATGTGAGCTAGAGGTTCTTCTTTAGGCTAAGGATTAAGTATATCTTTAAAAGGTATTGTGTAGAACGGGAAGTATTTCTGCTGTTTGGTACGTACTGATGACTGGTACAACATCTTTCATAAGCACCAAAAAAAACGTGACCCAGCATACAGCTGACAAAGAGATCCACTTTCTACTTCTAAGTACCTTTTCTGATGGTAGAGGTAACACTGCCACTAATGTAGTGTTACTCTACACAACAGTTTAAATGGCAAAACATAGAGTAGCAGCTTATCCTATTATAAGTAACAGAATACATTAGGTAGGTAGGTGGGATACAATTTAATACAACACAAAAATTACCTCTACTTTTCCTGAACCATCATCTACCATGTTATGCTGGGCAGCCATTTGTGGAGACTCGTGTAACTTGGTAGCATCAAATTCAATCTGCTCAATTTTAGCCACTCTCTCTGTGACATATACTTTGCCAAAGCCATCACTTTGATCTTTATCCTTCCAGTCTTTGAAAAATTGTTTGAAAATTGGTGTTTCACCTCCTTCGGGAAGGACTTGAATCTGAAATGAAGCAAGACACATGAAATGGAAGGAAAACAAAACTGACACAGTTACTCAAACAGAAACTTTTCTGAATCATCTGTTAGTGAAATATTGCCCTTATTGTCTTATAAGCCCTTAAAAATATTTTTTGCTGTTTAAAAACAAAGTCTTTAACAGAGCTCATGCTCTCCTGGTTATCATCTCATAAATAGATCACACCTGTGTGTTGGCAGGGTAATTCATCTGCTGTATGAATTGTTCAGCATTCTTCATGGCAGCCTTCCTCTCTTGTGGGTTAGCATCTTTGCCTGGTTAAAACACAAAGATAACAACACATAGGAAAGGGCAATGAGCTCACAGATCCTGCAAAAACAAGATGTCCTTGAGCCAAGTTCTCTTCGACATTGCTCTTCCCTCAATCTTGAACAAACACAAATGCGGGACATAACATGAGCAAGCAAGAAGAGTCACACAAAATTGAATGGACAGAACAGTACCTCAGTGGCTTTGGAAACAGTTAATTTTTTTTTTTTAAAAGGGCATTGTTTTTTGCTTAGTGTGTGTGCTTCTATCAAAAAAATGCTGTTCATAATAACTGCTTGGTTCAAGGCACAAGAACACCCTGGCTCTTTTCTCTGAATCCTCCTTTGCTGGGCTGCAAAGTGTTAAACAAAGCTGCTGTCCAGAACTGCCTTCACTTCTTCAGGCAGCACCACAGTCCGAGTAAATGAAACTCCTATTTCGTCTGCCTGAGCTGTGCAATTTACCACCACCCTTCCCCACCCACTGCCCCTTGTTCAGCCTTGATCAGTGTTAGACATCTCTGAAAGTCTCTGTGGGATGATACCATATATCAGGTCTGTGCCCAGATGGCTGTCAATGACTATATTCCAAAGACCTCTTACTCTAGTAAGATGCTCCAATAAGCTATTCATTGTATTCCATTTTGAATGAGACTATTAGAAAAGTAATTCACATCCTCAGCTTAATGGTCTGAAGATTTCCAGCAGAGATGATAACTGCAGCCTCCCAGAGCAAGGGTGAGACTCACAGATTAATGAGTTTTTTCCACACATTATTGCTACCAACAGTAGCAAAGTGAGGATGCACAGAGGGGCACATAGGGCCACATTCAAAGGGCCTAAGTTGTATTTTATTTATTTTATCCCTGAGCCTACTGCCTATCTGAACACAGCTCCCAAAATGCTCTCTTTGAAAGGATGTTTCCCTAACTGCAAATGAAGTTTTCAAGCAAAATGCTTACAATGCTTCCTGGACTGACTTCAGGAATTTGACAACTGCATTGATTAATTAATTGCTATTGCATATGGCAAAAAGAAATGCAAATGCCACATAATAATTAATACGCTACCTCAGACAAAAAAAGGGGAGATACTCAGCACTGGATGCAGCGGCAGCATCACAGCAACGCAGCTACAAGGTGTCCAGACCTAATTCCCCAGTAGTAGTATGCTCCTGGGAAATGTTCAGTCAAAGCAATTGCAGATGCTCCTACAAGCACTGATGATACTACAGAGAAATATTCACAAGAACAAAAGAAGCATCAAAGTATTTGCAAGCTTATGCTTTTAGTTGATGCCTGGGACACTCACCTTTCAATTCCATACATCTGTGGAGTAATGTATAGAAATATTGTATCTACCTATTGTCAAACCTTCAGTGTCCAGATTTTGTCCCAGAAGATAGGGATTTGATGGCAATATACAAAACTTGTACGTAGGATTCTTTATGCTTGCTTTGTAATTGCAGTTAGATAAGCATTTAAGCACCCAAGCTTACAGATGCCTCAAAAATAGCCAGGATCCATAGACAGGACTTGGTCTTGAGGCCCTTACTCACATGAGCAATCCTTGTCCATTGACCACACCAAGAAGAACTGTGTGCAGTGTACTGTGTCCAGCCAGTACTAAATTCTTGCTAGTGTCCCAAGGGTGTTGTGTCAACTCCTTAGATATGTCTGTGTAGCTTCTGCATTTGCAACAGAAATGATCTCTTACCTTTCCACACAAATATCTTCCTTGCAGCACCATTGTCCAAAATGAAGCACTCCTCAGACAAAAGCATAGCCATGGAGAAGGGGTTTTCCTCTGCTACCACAGACACCTTCATGGATCCACTTGCATCTGACACCTAAGAAAGTGTCCTGGTTATATTCCTTTTCATTAGATTTATTATTGATATTATATTTTATTATTATTATTGTTAGTATTTTATTTTACTTGAGTTATTAAATCGTTCTTATCTCAAAAAAAAACCCCCCAACCAGCTCCCTCCTCCCCCCCCCCAAAAAAAACAACCCAAGAAGAGACAAGCGATGCACAATGCAATTGCTCACCACCCGCTGACTGATGCCAGAGCAGTGATCCGCCCCTCCCGGCCAACTCCCCCCAGTTTATATGCTGAGCATGACATTCTATGGTGTGGAATATCCCTTTGGCCACTTTGGGTCAGCTGTCCTGGCCGTGCTCCCTCCCAGCTTCTTGTACACCTGCGTGCTGGCAGAGCGTGGGAAACTGAAAAGTCTTTGACTTAGGATAAGTGCTACTTAGCAACAACTAAAACATCAGTGTGTTACCAACATTATTCTCACACTAAATCCAAAACACACTGTACCAGCTACAAGGAAGAAAATTAACTCTATCCCAGCCGATACCAGGACAGAAAGCAATCATTTCAAATTTAGATCAACTCTGGCTATTATAACGAACTAATTTCTGCTCCCAAAATTACTATAAAAATCAGTCACCATTCCTATATAAACGACTGTATGAAATTTGAGTGCTGCTGGAAAGTAAGGTTGGCTAATGATTTGTTTTGTTTCATTTCATTTTACATCCAGTAGAGGGAGATGTCGTGTTAATTTTAGTGAGTTGGATCCCTGTCTCACAACTTCTTAAATACTTTTCTCTCCCACTTTCAACTGCTCATTCAGTGAACACCTCACAGTAAAAATCCGTATTTTCTTCACGCCACCCTTTACGCTCAGCTGAACTGGTGCAGTCCCTAGGTGTCATCTTCTGCTACCAAACAACCTGCACTGAAGCCAAAGGTACACGCACATGCTGAACAAGAGCATTTGAATTTATAATAAAATAGTCCTACACTGATATTAACAAATGAAATACCTACATTTATAACCTACAGTTCTTTAATTGGAAACTGTCATACAAGACCTGTTGCAGAATCTGCTTTGTAACCTCTACCACCACTGTAAGCTCATGTAGACCTTTATAACCATTTAAATTCACTCCTGCACAGCTGAAAAGACCAGTTATTACTACTGAAAAGAAGTTACTATTATTGTGGCTTCCATTTTTCTAGAAGTCTTTATTTCCTTTCATAATTAAATATTAATTTTAAATACACCATTATATCCTATATTGTATATTATGGAAGCACAAGATGGAAATTACCACTGCATACAACAAATAAAAATCAACTATTATGCCTACTGTGAAGGCTTACCATAGACCCATCTCCCGAATTTGACACTCACTGTTATATTGCAACACATTTAAATTTAGCTAACAGAGCTCCGTTAGCAGGACCCTGTGTACTTAGAGGAATTTATTAGATAGCCACAGAATTTTTTGAGAGTTCTTAGGATTCCAAAATTTACTGCAAGCACTTTGCTCTGCTCTAGTATTGTCTTACAGCAATGGTCCAGATCATACATGCAGGCCTTCTTTTTCTTTTTTCTTTTTTTTCCTAAGACCCTGCTATAAAGATAAATATGTGCCAGATTTTTTGGCAAGAATGGAATGATTAATGAGAACTAAACACAGCACATAGACGACAAGGACTGAAAATGTCCTTGTAACAATGATCACCTCATATAGGCTTCTTGTAAACCCCTCCCCCCCCACAAGGCAGAGGAAGGATCATGTAACAGGCAGGGAAGAGAGGTGGCTCCATCCTGCTGTGGTCTGTGGGATGCAGGAGCTGCGGAGGGAGTGACTCATCCTCTCTCACACCTCACAGCAACTTTGAAGCTACTGTAGATGGCACCTAAAAGGTCACACACCTATGGATCCAGTAGCACGTAGTGCTGTCAGCGTGTTACCACTTGTTGACCAAACCCTTCTTGTTAAGTGACTATGGGGAAGGGAAGAAAGTGCGTAGTATGCCAGTGAAAGATTCTTTTCTGTTACACAAGGCAACCTCATTGCATGAGCCTGAGCACAAAGTGCTGAAGAGAAAGGTCCAGATCTCAATGTTAATGAGAGTTTGAAAAAACTTGCAGTCTTCAGGAGAAAATAATCTTTTTTTTACTGGGAGGGGGGAGGATAAAGTCTTTTCTAGATTTCATTAAAAACATCCCCCTTCTCCAAATACTTTCTCACTTCTGTTCTCAAGTGGGAGAATATGAAAGAAAGGGGAGCTGTGGGGAAAAAAAAAAAAAGAAGAAAGAAAATACAGGCCTGGAAATAGTTTGGCTTTTTTCAGAAAAAGAAAAATAGTTGTGTAGCCTTGTATATAGGTAAGATACCGCAGTTCAAAGAATAAATTCCATGCCTCTTCTAGGGAAGAGCAGTATGCCTAGCATGACGTGAGGAAAAATCATAACTTCACTGAATGTAATCATAAAACTCTTACCGATTTAAATGGACTACGTATTTAATCTATTTTGTTTATAGGTAATTTTCCTGGCAGTGGCACTGTCCTAGTCAGTGTTAAGCTATTGCAGGTGAGGAAGGAGGAAAAGGGCATTGCAAAAGAAAGGAGTTTTGCATTCAAATTCCTTTGGATCTATATATAACAAAACTGTCCACCTCTCAAACTCTGCTAAGAATAATGAAACCATGTATGACTACTAAAACTGGCACTGCTATAAGCAAGAAGACAGGAAATATAGTTTAAGACCAGTTAATTCCTCTTTGACCTGCACTGAGTGGTTCACAGGTCATGCTTAACTTGCTTCTTGAGTAAACAGGACTGTGCTGTCTTGATTGACATCCTTTAAGAAACTTGTCCATTGGCTGCAAATCAACTAACACAACGGCAGTTCTGTAACTGAAGCCAGAACTCCATATATGAGGGTACTACATGCATGAATACTGTTGAGTGTACCTAACTAAAAGAAATGTAAACTACTTACCATATATAGTTTAGCGCTTCTCCTGTTTGTAATATCGGCCAGTTCATCATCATCATCATCACCGTCAGGAAGCGCTGGCTTGCTCCCTAAAACCTGTACAACAGGAGAATAACAAACTCAGTGCAGAGAGAGAGTAGGTTCTGTAGTATAAATACCTAAACACTTTAATGTTTTGTCCCAGTAATCGATTAAATAGGATCATCTTTACATATAATCCAATCTAAATCCAAACTCATGGGTCACTTTTTCACAAACATGGGTAATTTTAAATAACTGTGTCACATCTCCAGCAGCTTTAGATATACATGCTGTCTTTCTTGCAAGCCAACTTGCTGGTTGTCTAGAGACTAGGGTAGGAAAGATAAATAAAGAAAAATTTCAAAGAACACATGCACACACAAATATACAGAATAGAAGGGTTTATGTGATCCTATTCTATGAGCGTGTTTATATGTTCGTTTTCCCCTTTTCCTCCCAGTAACACTTAAACTGTTGGCAAGCACATCTTACAGTTTTTGGAATGACATTACTCTTAAAAGGTTTAACGATACTAAAATTAAAGTAGACAAAGTGAAATATATGAGTTGAAATTATCTTTTAAAATATTTAAATTGACAATATAAAATATCAGATTATGAGTTAAAAAATGATAAAAATTACAGATTCTTAATCCCATTTTAAGGGGGAAAAATTAGCTAACGTCTTGAAAAAAATGTATGGGGTGAGAAAAACATTTCTTTTGCTCCACCACTAGAATATCAATTTTAACACTATGGTTGTTTTACTTCATAGTAGTTTTACACCATGAGTAATGTTATAACAACTTTCACTACAAAAATTTACAGAGGTTCATCAGGAATACACTATGGTCAGGTAGTCATTATTAGACCTTCATTACCCTTTCTTAATGATCTTTCCTTAAGAATTCATACATGACCAGATCCAAATGTTACATACCGAATATTATGGATTTCCATGAAATTATGTCCCAGTGTGAAGGTAGTAGCAATTGATATGTCTGAATAACTAAATATTAACATCAACTACAAGGGCAGTGCCAGCCTTCCTATTGATGCAGTGCATTTGCATTAACATGGAGTCACATGCAAAAGCACTGTAAATATTTGATAACAGGGAAGCCTGACAAAGCATACAGCTGCAAAGAATTTGAAAAAAACCCCAATATAGCCTAAATATTTAACATAAATCTGCCATCTGTGGAGTTTCCTGACCTGCTAAAGCCAGTAAAATAGTAAAAAAAAAAGCTTTGTTAAATGTGATTGCTGCAGTTTAAGCTAAAATATTTCACTTGTGACTTGTTGAAGACAAGAAGGTAACGCCCTGAGTGTTTACGACAGACGTTGCCTGTAGCTCTTCAGTAACTGTCAGTCAGCGTTTCCTGAATTTATGCTACATGGCTGCAGATTTACTAATGTATAGGTCAAGTAGTGCTACATGTTCATAGTAGAGTACCACCATGCTTGTGAATGGCTAAAAACATAGGGCAATATGTGGCATATAAGCACAAGGTTTCTGAAAATGTTTCCCTTCCTAGATTTTCACACTAACCAGCAGCCTACACACAAGCCATAGAGCACCAGCAATAATGTTGTCTTTGTAATGCAAGTGTCAGAAAATTGCCAAATAACAGGCATGCATCTTTACCTGAACAGACACTGAATAGGTTTGAGGGTTTTATAACATTTGACTTCCAGTAACAATTAAGAGGGTAAAAGAGTCCTGTTAATAAAACTTCCACAAGTCCATACTCACTAGTTCTCTGCTTAATTAGAGAAATTAATTGTATTTCCAGCAAAAAAATACACACACAAAAAAACCCACAAGAATTGTGATTCCCGATACAGTTAAAGTCAGCGTTTTCCCTTGCCATGCATATAGAATACCTGTGGCACCACAATTATTTTGCAGCTTTGTTGCAAGGCACTTAAAGTGATATAAAATAAACTGCTCTTAACAGTGCGAGCTAAGACTGCCACCCTGAATATTTTTAAACAAGGCTAAACAGTGTCTGTTGGTGCTTGTGAAAGCATCTTGACAGAAGCAGCCTTTCTATTCACAGCACAGTTGAGGCACTTCACTCTGGTAGCAATTAAACCAAGCAGCCTCTATAACTTAAAAATTGGGCTTTAAAATTGGCCCCAACACAGTTTAGATTGCTGGCCTGACCTGTTGGTGTCTTAAAACTGCATTTAGAAATGTTTTTCTGAACATTTTCTGAACAATTCTCTAGACAGAGAATTATTGTCAGATTCCCTAAGTCTTATCTTAGGAAATCTCAGTTCATCAGTACTGGCATAGAGAGAGGAGTCAAAACCTCCTTTGCACAGATGCAGTTACAGGTATGAGATGAACTGCCCTGGAAAGGGCAGAGACATTCTGGTTCTGGGGAAACCCATTCACAATTCACTAAACAGCAGCTTGCACAGTAGCTTCTCTGGCCAAAGCTAGCCCTGTGCTTCAGCACAGGTGAGCAGAAAAGGAATATTACTCATTTTTGTAATTCTTCTGCAGTTTCTCAGAGCAGCCCAAAAATAAATGGAGAAGGTTCTTGCACATGCCCCATTCTCCTGCACCTGAAGTCATAGTTGCTTGTAGATGCTGGCATTTTGGTGACCCTTGTTAAGAAGGGACAAGATGTGCTTTTCCTACCACCAGATAAGGAAATCCAGGACTTGTGAGGAGGGCTGTGCAGCCAACACAGCTGTTCGAATAAGCCTTGAGCTGAATCACTAACGGGTATGTACACCTGTGTGTGTTGGTATCAAAACCAGAAGATGATACAAGGTTAAAATAATCTAAGGCATGTGAAGACACCAATTGTGAAGAGATGCAGCGTGCACTATATATACTCATTATATGAAGTGATACAGTATGAAATACATATAGTCAGTACACTTTTGTATTGCTAGGAACAACTTCTGTCATTCCCAACATGCATTAATTTCAGACAGTTTTGTCTTGTAGACTGGAGGATGAGACAGATCACAGAAGGAAAAATTCTGTGCTTAAACAGAAAGCAATTTATGCTGAGAAAAATGTTAAATTCTGTCCCAAAGAAATTCCTTCCAGAAAAGTTGTCTTTCCGTCTTCTAAGGCAAACTCCCATGCTACGGCTGGGTCCACACACAGCCACACATGTGCCTGGATGTTATGACAACTGATAATTTTATCAAAAAGATTACGAAGTGTGTATCGAACACCAGCTAACTGCTAGGCTGAAACTGGGCTGTATCATTACTCAAGCATATGGCAGGCTGAGTTGCAGCTCTCCAGGGCACGTCACCTTTATACACATAATTCTCATGTGATGCATCAAAAAGAAAACAAATCATGCCAGCTGAGACTACAGTCAAAGGCTCCCAAAGATTTTCAGCAAGGTTACCCAATAAAATGACTTAAACCAACAGACAGTTTAAATTACATTGAGTCTTCTGATTCTTAGTTTCACACAAATCCTGTGGTAGTGTATACAGAGGACCTTGCTCATCTAATTCTCCCTGTACAGACAGTCAGGCTGCTCCACTGGTCTCCTGGGCTGCTCTGAGGTTCAAGACCCTGACTCACAAACGTGCCAAGAATTCAGACTCACAAATCCACCTTACACACCTGAAAATAGCAATGCTCTCTCGGGGACGCAAAACAGCCTAGCCACACTTTTCCCTGGACTTCCAACCATATTGGTAACTTCAAACCATACCTCTCATAAATACACAGGTGCACACACAGGTTTTGAAACCACTTTTAAAATCATTATTATTATTATTATTCTTTACTGCAGTACAAATAATCTAAAGAATAATTAGGGTCCCTGAAAGCTTACCCATGCCCCAGCTTCTTCATTCTTTGGGCTTAGCATCCTTCTTTGCAGCTGCTGATTTCCAAACCACAGAGACTCTTTGCATCACTTCACCTTATCTGCCATTGACAGATTAAGGCGTCAAACCACCCCTTGCTCTCTGTTGTTGCACCACAGAATGATGCTTATCTTCTCCCCACCCTTGCTTCCTGTGTGCAGGTTTATCAGAGTCCTGGACAAAACCATGAGCAATTCTGGCCTCAGCAAAGGCACACACAGCTGTAGTGCTGCTATTCTGCAGTGACCGCCAGCGTGACCATTCTAACTTCACGGTATATGTGAGGTTGTTTAACCACTCAAGGCTTAATCTGCTTCATAGTTATTTCAGAATAAGACATGCCCATAGCTGGCTACAGCAGAGCCTACCTTGCTTTACATGGCTATTGCCTAATGCCAGCTTATGTCTCAGTGAGAGCATCAGACTGCCAAGTTAGCGTTGTTTTAGCAAAAGTATTCCTTAAATCCACACCTTTAGATCTTGTCTGTGAGAGGGTATAATAGAAAGTCAATCTGCATTAATTTTGAAAGTTTTGGTTTTTTAAGTTCTGTTAAACTTCTGTGTTGACACTCTTAGGTTAACACAATAGCATAGTGGAAACCAACAGAACATCAGTTCCTCTACAACAACTGCCCATGTTCACTCTTATCTTGTGATAAACTCAGTGTAGCTTATCCTGCCTGCAAAACCATAATCCTCTTTAATATTCTCATGTGCACAAGCTTTTCTCTGTAAATATCTGCACCCCCTCAGAGAAGTGCAAAATACAGAGCCAAAGCTTTTACTGACACATGAAATTTCACCCTGTTGCCCTTAAAAAAGAAATCACAGACAAAAGGTTTCTAATCTGTAGGAATGTGACAAGGTAAATAATTTAAAATAAACTCATCAAAAGAAGAAATTTAGCAAACATTGTCTTCGTAACTGGAGAAGCCAGCTCTGCATCATTAAATAGTTGATATTGATTTAATGGGAGCAAGAAGTTTAAGGAGTTCAGTGATGCTGAAAATCCAACTAGGAAAACAATACTTGAATAACATGTCAAGTGAAGGTTAATTAAGAGAGAAAACCAGTTTAGTACAGTTTAACTTGTGTACACTAGCAATGTGTTTGTGTTTCTTCTTACTATACACAGTTTGGGTTAGGTTTCTGGGTCTGAAACTGAACTATTTGTTGTGGCTGTGATCCAAAGTGTCAGATCTCAAAAACACTCAAATT